AACTGGCAGACAGCCCTGCAGAGCCCTCCCACTTCTAGAGGAGTGCAGCATGGGGAGTGCGGGTGTGGGGCTGTGGCTCAGCTCTCCTGGGTGGCTGGTGGGGCTGCATCCCATCTGTGGGTGGCCATCAGCTCCGCCCCCCGGCAGTTCACGGGAGGGCTGGGGCCTGCTGAGTGAGTAACAAGCGTGGCACTTTCCCACTTCCATGCTGAGCCTGTCATGGGCAGTGTGATCCTTGGAAAGCAACCAGGCGTGTGCAGGTCTGGCCAGCAGTGCGCCAGTCTTCACGGAGACTTTCTGACACTGCTGACTGGGAGGGGCTCAGACGGGGAGTCAGCATCCTAGAATAGCCCCAGGCACCTCTGGGAAGTAGAGAGAGAGGTCCCTCTTCTCCGAGGCTCATGGGCACCTGGCAGTGTAGTGTGGGGCACCAGGCAGAGGACGTGCAGGTACCTGGGCGGCTGGAGAAGCAGGGAACAGTGGAAGTTCAGGCTTCTTGGAGGAAAGGTCAATATCCAGCAAGAGAAGAGCATGACCCAGTGATTCCATAAGAAGACACTCCCATGAAAACATTTTTTCCAAATGTATAAGAAGCCATGCACAGCATGCGCACACAGTAGTGGGATGGAGCTGAGGCTGCACACAGCTCAACTCATGTGGTGCTGTCCAGGTAAGCTGTGTGCCTGGGCAGCTGCAAAAGCAAACTGGCAGAGTGCGGGCCATGGTGGGTGCTCAGCACGCATGTCAGTGTATCGAGCATTTCCCGTTTGTAAAACCAGTGTCAAAGTTTGGGAGGCCGGCTTTACCCACAGTGTGTTGAGCCTGTGTCCGCTACGTGACCCCTGCCCTGGCACAAGTCTGGAGCGCCGGGCTAGAAGATGGTTTGCTTTCTTGTTGGAGCAAGTTCTGGGGCACAGCTGTCTTTGGCCACAAGGCCGAGACCCCGCTGCCATCTGCCCCCCACCTCAGGCCGAGGGGCCCCCAGAATGCTGCAGTCAAGGCCGTGTGCAGCATCCATGCTGGAAAGGACAGTCAGGGTCACAGTGGCCTCCACAGGCCTCCGGCTCCAGGCGGTGTCTTCGGTGAGCTTGTTTCCCTCAGACTGAATGAGCAGACTGCTGGAGGCCCGGAGGAGGGTGAGACGGGGAGAGCATTCTTGGTGGGGAAGTCCCAACTCTCAGTCACTTTGGAAAGGAGCTAAGTCAGTGTGGATCCGCATCCAGCTTGTGCGGAGAGAGCCTGACAGTGGTGCTGAGCATGCTGCCTTTGATGGGGGTGATTTGGATTCTCGACCGAAGTTCGTCATGACCTCAGTCATGCAGGGAGCCCTGAGAATGTAGCTCATACAAGATGTTTGCCACAGAGAGTGTGCGGAAAGCCGCTAGTTGGAACACAGCAGAGCACTGTGTTGGCGAGATAATGATGTTTCAGGTCCAGGAGGGGCCTTTTGATTATCCAAGTTAGACATCTCAACCACAGAACGGGACTTGACGGGGCTTCTCTTCTTCACCAAATTCTGGTCAGGCTCTTCTGAATTCCTTTTAACTAGGCCCTAACCTCAGGCATATTCTCAAGAGCTCAATTTTAGGAAGAATACTACTAAGTCATTTTAGCCTGAATTCCTCAGCTTGGCTATGTGATCAAAGTCTTCACCCTGTGGGTCCCCCAGGTAATATCTGAGCACCCTTGTGTGCATTCTGCACAAATTCTATGAGGTTAGTTTAGCAAAGAATTACCCTGGCCCTGCAGAAATTTTCCATCCACTGGCTCCACCCTGCTCCTTGGCTATAAATTCCTGCTTGAGCCAAATCCCATTCTCCTACTGCAAACGCCACTGCAATCATATTTGTACCTGCTGTTGGTGTTTTGAATAAAGCCTAGCCTAACATTTCAATAGGAGTCACAATAATTTTTTTCTATCACAGGCATAGAGAACTGGCTCGTCCAGTAATACATGGGTTCTAGCATCTGGATTTCCAGACTTCAAGCTCAGTGTTCTTTTATCACACCATGCTGCATCTATGCTGTAGGGAATGTAGAACCGAGAAGTAACTCATTCAGTAAAGGACTTTATTGGAGTTGATGAAAGCTTGCACTGACCATCCCTAGAGATCATGGGTGGCCCCTGCACTGCAGCAGGGAGCACAGGTGCTCAGTGTGATGGGTCAGTTGGTCATTTCATCCTCCTCTGAGCACGAGTGAACTGCAGGTCCTTTCTGGCACCAGATGCTCACAGTCCGTGCAGTCAGCAGCATTCACCATGCTACGAGTGATGTCCAGGAGGGGCTGTGTGCTCTCACTGAACCTGAGCAGCTGGTTAAGAGCTTCGGAGCACACTTGGGCCAACTCATACATCCACTCATTCACTCACTCTCACAGACAGAGACAAAATAAAACAACACGGAAACAGTTACAGTGGGACCTCAGCTCACAAACGATTCTTTCCACGATTCTGGCCACAAACCGAGTTGGACGAGAATTACATTAAATTCAGTGGCTAGGTTCAGTGTTGACCTTGTGGGCAAATTTGATTTGGTTCTCATCCAGTTAGGTTTGCAGAATCGTGGAGGGAATTGAGTTCCTGAAGTAAGGTACTGCGTGTCTTTCTTTTTCCCAAGCACGACAGAGGCATTAGTGCTACTATAGGAAAAGCTCCTTGTTCATAAGGAGCATCAGTCCAGACGGAGGTCCCAGAATACGGATAGTATGGGCTCACTGCTAATAGAGTATGTACAGAGGTGGTGTGGGGCACTGGGAATGATGATTAGTCTCCCTCTGAGGAAGTTAGAAGAGTGACGCCATTAGCCTTAGGTGTTGAAGGTTGGAGCGAACTTTACGAAGAAGAAGAAAGGACGCGGGTTCAGATGGTGGGGATGACGTAGACAGAAGTGGAGGGCGGAGGAGATGCAGGACACAGTTAGGAAAGTTTTGTGAGGAGGGTGAGAGAGGAGTGGAAGAACAAGTGGCCGGAAATGGATCCCGTGAGGGAGACTGAAGCTCGATGTTATAAGACTAAGCTTGGAAGATGAAGCTTGACTGCGTGTGGCAGTGGGTGATCGTGGGCTGGAGCAGGGCGGACAATCCTGTGAACGAGATACGGGCTGAGAGCAGCATGGAGGATGGGCAGGGGCACCGGAAGAAGTGCGTCAAAGAGCATTTGGTGTCACAAAAGCAATCCTGTGTGAGCCACACCGTGGCATGGAAATGGCGAGGATGTCGGGATCCAATTTAGGACACAGAATCCGGCAGACTTGGAGACTGAGCTGTTTTTGAGAGAGAAAGGCAAAGAGAAAGCTTGGGCATGATTCCTAGGGCTCTGTGCTTGAGGTGGACAGGTCACCCACAAGAAGGGAGCCTGGGGGGACAGATTAATAAAGTTAGCATAACCGATGCCTGTGTGGCCAATAGCCTAGGGAGGGATTGAAATGCTGACGTTTGTTTAATCAGTAATGCGCTGAATGTATATAATGTGTAAAGGCCTCTTCTGCACCTTTTACTTGTTTTTTTAACATTTCAGTTTACTGCATCCTCCTAGTAGGTTATATTTTTGCGTCCTCACAAGTGCTTGTGAGAATTAAATTAGCTCCGTTTTTGGATAAGAAGCACACAGCTTTTGCAGGTTAAGTAACTTACATAAGGCCATGAAGCCAGAGAGCTGCAGATCTAGGGAAGAAACAGAGATTTTGCTATACCCAGAGTTTATGTTCTTCCTTCTTATCATGCTCCCTGAAGAGCTTCGTCCTTGAGATGACCTTGTGTTTGCGGGAACAGATGTGAAGGAAATAATCAAGACACTGTCCCAGATTAGAAAAGAAGAAACACGGTGCAGCTTGGATGCACAAGGATGGGGTGGCAAAGTGTTCTCGTGCAGGGGACAGACGCGTGGCCTTTGGGGAAAAGGCTGGCGAAGCCTCATCAGAGGCTCGGCATCGTGGCATAGCCGTGCCGTGGGCCTTCTCCAGCCAAGCTCCAGGCCCGGCAGGGCCAGATTGGAGTGAGATGGATAAAGGCTGAAGAAACCGCAGTGGCAGCTGGTTACGAGGATGTGACAAAACCAAAGTCAGGCAAAGTTGGAGCTGTGGACTCAGGGCAAGAGAATGCAGCAGCGAGGTCCTGCAGTGGAGAAGGTGGGGCGGCTTGTGTGCCCTCGGAGAGGCGCCTGAGGTGGCGGGAAGGGAAGGTGGTGTCTGGGAGTGTGGCCAGCTGGAAGAGGTGACAGCCCCGCTGTTCTCATGCCCCTCTGGCACCTTCTTGCCTTCTTCTGCTGTGCACAGGCAGCGTAGGGAGGAGGGAGCTGTGGACGGCTGCCCTGCCTTTCCCCTCTCAGCTCCTACCTGTGGTCAGGTCAGTCTGCCGGGAATGAGGCTCAGAGGAGGAGTGGGTGTCCAGGAGGACAGCGGGCAGGATGGACACACGAAGCAGCTCCGTGTCACGTCCTGGGTGCACCATTGCTCCTGTGTAAAGCACCAGACCCTCTGTCTGGGTGACTTCACTTGGCCATTAGACCCCACAGGTTCTTGGGCACTTCTTGCCCTGTTGAGGGTCCCCTTGCCTCAGGCTCAGTGGAAGGGATGTGATGTTGGTGGAAGTTCAGGAACCGTCTGGCATCCTCTCATTGTGCCCCACCTGCAGCTCCTGTATGGGGGCTGGGCAGTGGGAATTCGCTGCCTGTTTAGTACCCTACAGAGAGCCCATGGCAGGCAGGCATCTGCAGCAGCTCCTTTCACTGCACAACTTCACAAAGGGCGCAAAAGTAGGTCTCTGAGAAAGGCCAGGACGGAAGGGGAACAAGCTTAGGTAATGAGCAGATGCATTAGTCTAATTGCTCTTCTCAAATTAATGGGGCTTTTTATCGCTGAAGAACAATTTTAAGCACTCATGTGATTTGGGAACAAAGATTTGGGTCTGGGGAGTATGACTCCCCTTTAAACATCATCCCCTGCTTGATAAAAACAATCTCTCCCTTTTTCTTTTCTTTTTTCTCTTTCCTCTTGCTGCAGGTCAACAGACTACGGCGCCACCTATGAAAAGCTGAACGACAAAGTGGGTTTGAAGACTGTTCTCAGTTACCTCTATGTCAATCCCACCAACAAAAGGAAGGTAAGAGGCAGGGCAGGGCTCTGAGCACTCCTGCTGGGTGGCAGCTCTGCTAAGGCAGAAGTTAAGAAAAACTCATGGAGTCTCTCATAGAGCATGTGCTTTCTGTGCTAGGAAGTTCACACACACTGTAGGTAATTTTCTGGTACTGAGAATTAAACCCAGGGAGCTACATCTCTTGCCCTTTAAAAAATTTTTAATTTGAGATGGGATCTGGCTAAGTTGCTCAGACTGGCCTCCTTGTTCGCAGTCTCCCTGCTTCAGCTTCTCAAGTAGTTGGGATTACAAGCATACACCACTGTGCCTGGCGCATGGTAATTCTAACAGCAGTTGATAGTGATAATAATGAACGCAACAATAGCAGCAGCGACATTACCAGCGGAATTAGATGGCCATGTGAGGGGCTCCTCCAGACCAGGAATGGTGCTGAGTGCTTACCTGTCTCAGCTCGTTTATGTAAACAGTGAATCTATTGGGTAGAGAATATTCTTGTCACACTTTACAGGTAAAGAAACTAAAGCTCAAATAAATACGTCATCTTCTAGCTTGAAGCAGTCGGTGGTTAAACAGCAGATGTAGAATTAAGTGAGTCTGCTCTTTTTCAGGGTTGAGTCTTTCTGCAGCTTCCCTCTTGCTGGTCTAGTTTTGGAGAGTGTCTTTTGTTTTGTTTTGTTTTGTATTTTTTGGTACCAGGGATCGAACTCGGGCCCTTGGGCTTGCGAGGCAGGCGGCGGAATGGAGAGCGTCTTATTCACATGGAGTCCCTTTCCTGGCTCAGCCGGCTCTTCTGCTTCTCTTTGTTCTTACCTACTAGCTAGGATGAAATCATGTAAGGTTCAGACCTTGGTCCCGGAGGCCTGCTTGGAAGAGGAGTCCCAGAGTCAGTGGAACAATAGGTGGTTTGGGAACATAAATGCTGTACAGTACTGGATTTTGGAAGGTGTGATCTTTCCCCGGCTTGGAAAGCTCTACTGTTTAGAAACTTAGACAGCCCTGCACCATAGTGACCGTATTTAGGTTATTTTAATGTTTCTAAGAGGCTGGCAATGCAGTCTGCATTTGCCAGTGGTCTTGTGCACCCTTGTTTCATGCAGGCAGGCTGAGGAGAGGGTGTCCATCCACTGTGCAGAGCCCTGACCTTGATTCCCACACGGCAGAGTCCAAGCTTGGCTGAGAATGATTGTTATGCTGCTCAGTGTAGAGCAGCATTGACTGGAAGCCTTAGCGCCCTAACACAGCTTCACGTCTTCTCTTTCTTTCCCCTCGATGACACTAAATACACCCACGCACGGAGGAAGCTGGTTTGCTGGCCCGGACCGAGCACTGGTGACGTAGTTCAGGGCTCAGCCAGCTCCAGGGTTCCCAGACACTCAGACAGCCCCCCAGTGCAAGTCCCTCATCCTCGGTAGGCAGGATGGCTGATTAGGCACCTGATATTGGCTTCAGCTGAGTAGTTTTCTGTTTGTTGGGTCCCAAAGTTGGATGTTCACATGTTTCAGTGGTGTTATTTGAACTGCTGAGTGGTAGAGGTAGAAGGGATAGCAGAGTTCATGTATTCCAGTGCTGATTAGCAGGTTTTGAACTGCAGTCCTTCTGCAGATGTGATTGCAGTTCTAGACCTCCTTTCTAGAAACAGGCCTGTGCTATAAGAGTTTCTTATACATTTTGAGGGGTTTGTGAATACCCCAAATCCCACTCGTGGACGCCAGACATCCATGGAGTCTCAGGTTAGAATCCTGCATCTTTACTAACAACCTCATTTTACAGATGAGAAACCTGAATCCTAAAAGTCTACAAAGCCAGGCAGAAGAAGGAGCCAGGATCAGAACCCAGGACTCTTGGTTCTCAGTGCAGATGGACTTGCATCAGCTTGTCCTTTGTACCTTTTCCTCCTGCACAGTCATAGCCCAGGGGTCTGGAACTGTTTCACGATCAGGAGCTAAAGGTTGGTGCATGTCCACGATGGACACATAAGATCACTGAATCCAGTCAGTGATGTGTCTATCAGTCCTTCCTCCACCTTTCCCCCTTCATTGAGAAGGAAACTGAGGCCCAGACAAGTGTCCCACCCCAGGCACTTGGGGGTTAGTGCTTTGGTCTCCGGACTCCCAGTTTAGTGTCCCTCCAATGCCCTCTCGGTGACTGTGGGGTCCAGAAAATCCAGTGAGTACATGCACATTGGGAGGAACAGGACGGATAGCCATCAGCAGCCACCTTGCTCTTGCCTGCACCACAGCAGGACTGAGCACATTTCACGAGGTCATCATCCTTGCAAGGATTTTTCTCAGTGCCATAGGAGGGAACACACCTGTTCACATCTGTTTCTCTGTTGCGTGTGTTGCTGAGGGAAACTATCCTCCTGATGTTTCTTTTCATATTTTGCTCTTGTTCTTTACTTCTGACTGTGAACTCTCCTTAGCACAGCTTAGAAGTTCTTAGGCATGAGGGAGACAGAGCAAGTTAAGGCAGGTGCTGGGGGTTGGACAAAAGGTAGAGCTGAGTTTGGAGATCATCAGCGTGGAAGTGCCATCCCAGTTTGTCTTTCTCAAAGGTGATGTCCATGCCAAGGGTGTCATTGCTCCTAACAGAGACCAGGTTATTTTACTTGTCTCATCTGAAAATCATCACCAAAGTACACTTAACTACTATGGCATTGACACCTAGGAAGTCAAAAGCACATTTTCCCACTGAGATTGGAGAAAGACAAATCACAGTCCAATGTTACATAGATTAATTTAAAAATTTTTATTCCTACATGTTTAGAGCACATAATGATCACATTCATCGTGGAGAACTGGTACATGTATGTGACACATCTTAACTCTTTTTATTTCTCCTCCCCTTCCTCCCTGAATTGAATTGGCTAGTTTTTTGGAAAATAACAAGAGAAATTAATGTTCATAAGGACCTGGTATGATCCTGAACTATTTTCTGAATCGTCAAGGAAAGATGACAGTAGATTCTGTTTCATTGTGCTAAGTGGCTTTGATTGTATTTGGAGCTCCTGGGTATTGATGACCTGCACATATTCTACATGATGACTGTCTCTCAACCAGAGTTTTTGGTTGTGTGCAACTCCCCTTTCTCTAGCTACTTATGTAAAACACTCTTGTTTCTTTATTAATCTAGAGCTTTGCATAATTGTAATGCAACTGTTTTTCAAGTTTCCTTCTTGCATATATATGGAGGTTTAAACCTGTGGTCACCTCGATTCTCTTCTCAGCTCGCATTAAGCAAGATTCTTTTGATTCTTTCCATACCCACATTATCTTTAGCTCCCCCTGTTTATGGGCCAGCTAATGGCAGTGAACTCCAGCAGATTTTTCGGTTAATCTGCTGGAAGCGCTTGCTTTTCACCTAATGAGTTATTAATTTAACAGATGGCTGCTGCTTTCTTTGGGGGCCTGTGAAGGTATCAGATGAGATCTGTTGCCCCTGGCAAAACAGTAAACCGTGCTTGGATTTATATAGTTGCTCTAAAAGCTAGCTGTTGATTTTTAAACACTTTTTTTGATAACATGGAATCCCCAAATACAGATAGTTAAAGCACCATTAGGTTGAAAGAAAGTGTTAACATGTGCATAGTTCATTCTACCAGTACTATCTTAGTCGGCAATAACTGAGCACCTAGTATGTTAAGCTCCGTTTTAGGAGCTTTATTTGTATTGTTCTGTAATCCTCTCAGCCACTTTAGCCAGCAGTAAGATAAGGAAATAGACTGGCAAATTACCCCAAGGTGGTCTTACCATAAATGATGGATCTGCAGCAGCCTTCTCACCGGGTACATTTGGGGGACACGTTAGTCAAGTCACACTCAGCAGTGCTTGGCTTCCTTAAGGAAGTGGGGATTTGGACCAGCAGCTCTGCCTTTCCGGCAGGCTGTAACCAGAGCGTCATCATTTTATGTGGCAGACATCCTAATGTCCTGTCAAAATGAGAGGGAGGCTTGATATGGAATGCTTGGAGCTGCTCCAGCTGAAGTGGTCCTGGAACACCTTGTGGTGGCATCTGATTATTTCAGTGACCTTGGCCTGGCCTGGCCTTACTTGATGTGGATTCTGCATCCCCGGATGTTTGCCTCTCTTTGGCCATTGGCCAATTAGACCCTCGTCTGGTTTGAGCCCAGCTGTATTAGGGGCCCAGCCGTGCTGGGTATTTCTGAGCTTCCCACTGGGAAGATGGAGAGTGGGCAGTGCGTAGTTCTGGAAGCAGGAATGTGCAGGGCTTGTCTGCCCAAGGAGGGGCTCTGCTTCTAGGAGAGCTGTGAGTCCAGCTTGCAGCTTCTCTTTCCCCTCGAGGGAGAGAAACCCCCCAGGCCTCAGAGTCCATTACTGTGAGTTGAGTCTCATCCTCAGGCCCACGCAGATGGGCAAATGCCCAGGTCCAGCCTGTGTTTACCAGAGCGGGGCTTTGGGTCAGGCTGACAGCCTGCGCCTTGGCCAGAGCAGTGCCTGACTCCTGTAGGTGAGTCTGCTCGAGAACGAGCCTTCGAGTGGACAGGGAAAGGGAGGCATGTTGCTGTCTAATTGGTCTGGCTCGAAAGCAGCCGTCACCCGCGGCTTTGGAAACAACGTGTTGGAAATGACAGAGGGCACACCCAGGTGTAACTGCCCGGAATGTGACCAAATTGCTGCAGCGTCCAAGAGTGCTGGCCTCCGCGTGTGCATGGCTGAAGGTCTGATAGCAGGATAGAATTATGACTTCCAAATACTGAAAGTCCAAGACGTTCTAGGCACGGGGCTTAGTTCCCTACTACCGTGCATTCTGGTTCAGTGTCGGTCTCTGGGCTCTGGTCGCTTTGTCCCCATTTGACAGGTGAAGAGCCTAAGGCTCAAGCAGGTAGCCCATCTGCCAGTGAGGAAGCTGGTAGGAGGCTCTGAACCCTTTCCAGCTCTCCGTGATCCAGAGTTTGGCGGCCAGGGCCACAGGTAGAGACACGAGGTGAGCTGCAGCCGCCACACTGCTAGCACCTGCTGCCTGGGGTTTCTGCTCATTAGTGTGAC